ACACACACAGCACACACACACACCACACGCACACACCAGACACACACACCACACACACACACCCCCTATGTTCAGCCTGCCGAAGGGGACACACACACACACACACACACACACACACACACACCCCTATGTTCAGCCTGCCGAAGGGGACCCGAACTGCGGACTGTGGGCAGGAGGTGACTGGCTCTAGCACCTCTTCTGCCTCGTTTCTACCATAACGTCCCACATTTCTGACCAGACTGGTAATAGCTAGGCCACCATGCTCTTCGGCCTTGGAGACAACCAAAAAATCCAGTTGTTATTTCCATGACCCCATCACAGTTTTGGAAAGAGAACAAAGAAATACCAGGTGTGTGGATAGAGATGAGACCCTTGCTCACGTGGCCCCCACAGCCTCTCCGCCCCAGGCCTGGTCCGGCAGTGTGGGAACAAGCTCATCCTAAGAGGAGCCCAGTAATCGAAAAGGAAAGCGGTGTCCCTCCCACACGGAGCTGTTCTTCCTGCTCCTGGTCCTCAGTTCCCTGCTCTTTGGTCCCAAGGCAGGATGGTTGTGTCGAGGAGCGAGGCCTGCAGGTAGAAGGGGCACTGTCTTAGAGGGGGCAATCAGTGGAACAAGTGAGGGCATGAGCCTCTTGCTGAGGCTCTTGGAGCCCTGGGCTGGGGCCCCCTTTATTCAAATGGGAGCCCCCTTTCAGAGCAGCCAGCCATACAAAGACTGGCTTGCCCTCAGAGGACTATGATGGGTGGGATATTGTCACCACGACCCCATGTCATCACTCTGTCATTTAAACGATTTGTACAGTTGGATCTGAGCTATGTCCCGCACTGCGGAAAGCGCATAGAGGGGGACTTGCTGTGCAAAAGGACAACAAACCATAAAATCCCATAAACAGTGGCTGCATGTTCAGGATTTGAGATTCCCAGGTGAATGCAATTAAAAACAATCACCCAACACCCCATATTTTTCTTTCTTCAATGCTGGTATGTGGATTAATATGCATGGCAACCCGAGAAGGCTCGGGGGAATTCACAGACTGTAACACTATATGCCTGTCTAGAACTGTTAGCGTGTTCTGTGCCAGGGATTGGTCTGTTTTTACATTCAAATGGGAGAAGGGCAAGGACTCAGAGGCTTGATCGTTTCTCTAAGTGTGTTGCCCATGAGCATGTGGCCTGATGTCTCAGTGGGAAGGCTTTTGTGCCCAGGGGGGTGGGGGTGGGGTGCCTCAGCCTGCCCCACTTCACAGGCCATGGGCAGGCTGACGGATGTGTTGCTTTTGGAGGGGAGGGGAGGGAGAGAGGGTGAACCATTATGTGTGTATGGACAATGTTCCCTTTTGAGCTCTGTCCCCAAACAGGACAGTTCTGGCCCAATTAGCCAAGGCACCCTTTGGAAGGGACACACCGGCTCCTTCGTGGCTCCCATCCACGAAGGTGAGCGCTCCCTGCCCGTGTGGTCTTTCTGCTTTGACCCTAGAGCAGGGCAGGAGAGAGTGGGTCCCTATGTTTCCCCCCCAGCACAGACCGCATGTGAACCGACAAGTTCAGGGACTCCTCTGCAGGTTCATTCTACCAGTGGCCTCAAAACCTTGATGTCACTACCCCAAATGTCCAGGTAGCAGAGATTGGACGAACCCAGCAACTTCCTTGTCCCCCTAAAATAAGGTGACCAGATTTTAACATCGGTAAAGCGGGACACCATTGATAAAAATCATATCCTGGCAAAATAGCCACACGGTAGCCGAAAACCATACATCCTAGCTTGTCGTGCATTCTTTTCAAAAATTGGGACTTTTTAAAAACACTGCGGGACGCGGGGAAAAATTGTTAAAAATCAGGACTGTCCGCCAAAAGTGGTACATCTGGTCACCTTACCCTAACAAGAATGATCAGCACCGGCCATGCCCTTTCGACCAGGCCATTCTCTTCAAGGGTGACACCCAGTGCCTTTGCCGTGGTGAGAAGGCTTTGCCCTTTGTTTGTATGGGAGCCTGGAGAAGGGGGATGCCCGGCTCTGGCTGAGCTTCTGGAAGGTTGTTTGTTCGTTTCCCGGGGGCAGTCCGCCTCTGGTTACCTGAACCCCAGAGAGGTCAAACTGAGCATCTGAGAGGAGGAAGTGGGCTTAGGGACCTCTTTTTCCATTAGGGCCGCAAGTTCTCCCTTAACACACACACACACACACACACACACACACACACACACACACACTCACAATCACAAACTAAACACAAGCAGGCGTGGGCTCTGTTTTCTTCCGGGGTGCTGCCTTCTTATGTTAAACAAAAGCAAAGGAACGCCGCAAAGCAAAACCCACCGCCATCCAGTCCCTTCACACCCACAGCGACCAGACAGGCCCGAGTAGAGCGGCTCCCTAGGGTTCCCGTCCAGCTCGACAGAAGCAGACAGCCTCTCCTGTCTACAGTACAGCGGCTGGTGGCTTCGAACGGCTGAGCTTACTAGCAGTCCATCGTCTAACGCACCGCCCACCTGGGTTCCCTGTTTCGGATGTTGGAGCCTATCCCTTTCATGGAGTTTCAGAAGGAACTGTGATGAGGAAGCATTCTGGGATTATTTTCATGGAAGTGCCCCAGGGGTGGGGGGGCGGGGGCTGTCCCTTCTCAAAGGGTTCTTCCTGGCTGTCTTGCAGGCTTGAGGGCAGCTGCAGGGGCCTCGGAGCCCCAGCCCTTCTGTGGCCCCTACGCAGCTGGAGCAAGTCGGAACCAGGAGTGAAGCCAGCCTGGTCCCCATGCTACCCTGACTCTTACATACTCCATCCTTGGTGACTTGTTGTCCTCATTTATCAACCGAGGACACCATCCCTGTTTCCCAAGATTGGATAGGACAGCAAAGTGTATCAAGATCCTTTATATCAGGGTCATTGTTGTTGAAAATGATTGTGCTGGTTTCTAATTAGCTACCCCCCCCCTGGCATCCAGCAAAGAGAATGGAATTTGACTGGGAGCTTGACCTTTCCCCATGCCACCACTGTCCTCCCTCCCTGAGCCCCCCTGAGCCCTTCCTCAAAAGTTCTTCTGCCTTGGGCTTGTTTTGTGCTCCACGCCCTGCCTCACCCCCTGAGCACGTTGTTTTGCCAGAAGGTATGTGTTCTGACAGTCAAGGTTGACTCATCTGCTGTTCTTGCGCTCATGTGTCAGGGCGTGACTGGTTGGGTGTTGAGATACAGACAGAGAACAGGGCTGAACCTGAACCATAATGACCTACCAAGGGGGTGGGTGGTGACCAGGTGGTGACAGGTTGCAGACTGGAGCCCCAGGGAGCACACAGGGGCTAACAGAAAAGAACCCTAGAGCTCCATATGCCACGAGGTAGGCTTGTGCCATGAAGACGATCCATTGCTGAAGAAGTCTTACAGCCAGCCCTGGTGGCACAATGATTAAAGTGACCATCCTGGAATAAACGGAGGGGGGACAACCTGGGGAAAAAGCCTTCTGTGCCCCACAGTGGGTAGGTAGGTATAGGATGTAACAAACACAAACCAAGAAAAGCCTTTGGGGAAGTGTCACTCATGACCCTAAAAGTCGGAGCAGAACTGACCCGTGGACTCTCCAAACCTGTAATCTTTACAGAAGCAGAGGGGGACATCGTTCTCCCACGGGCGCCTGGTGGATTTGAACTGCAGACCTTTTGATTAGCAAATGTTACCAGCCAAGTGCGTCACCAGGGATCCTTGCAGCGAATATAAATATCTTAGCCCTTAAATTGAGTTCATCCATTTCACATGCCAGAGACCCAGCACCAGCTGTCCCCGAGCAGATTAGGAAGGTGTGAAGTTCTTGCAGGAGTTCTTGCAGGAACCACCGTGTTAATGTGAGACTCTTGCTGAGCTGTGAGTCACAGGGGAATAGGTGATGGTGACATGCCTTCCCCTCTCCCCTCCCCTTCTGCTCCCCCTCCATCACCCCCCCCCCCCCCCCCCCCCCCCCCCCCCCCCCCCCCACCCCCCCCCCCACCACCCACGTCTCCATCAACATGCAAGCCAATGTCAGTATACCTGCTGGTAGGGGCATGCCAGTGGGGTTCAAATTGCAGCTCCGAGTGGCATGTTAGTTTGTATGCCTTTTGGACACGTTCTTTAACTGCTCTGAGCCTGGGCTTCCCTGTATGTAAAACGGGGTTAATAAAAGAACTTGCCCCATTGGGCAGTGAGGTGAATGTTAAATAAAATCACCCAGGTGAAGTCAGCCCCGCGGTGCCTGGAACAC